GTGAAAAGGGAAAGTATTCTACCCTGTCCTCACAGGCAGACTATGCTCAGTTTGGGGTGTCTCGTTCCAGACTCTTCTCTGTGCGAACACAGGGGTTTATGTTTATTGCTCACTGCTGTTGCTCTGCCAGGTAGATTGCCTTTCATGCATGCACTGTGTTTTTTAAGAATTCCTTGCCTTCATGGTGTGATAATATCACATTTCCCCACATCCAGTTTTCATCTGGATGTTTTTTTTAATATCCTGGTGATCAAGATTACCGATTTTCAGCTATTCATCAGGCAAGTATGGCGCACCTGCCAGCGCTGGGCTTCTGATGGAGTAGAAGGGAACACATTAATTAGAAATCACAAGGAAAAGCAGAATTACGTACAACTGTGAGAAAAAGAAGTATGTGGCAGTGGTAAAGGTGTGATAGAATTTAGCAAGAAAGACTCCTCTGAGGAAGTGATCATTGAACTGAGAGATGAAAGAATGTGAGTTGGCCAAGAGGTGAGGCTGGGGCATGGGCCTAGGAAATCACATGTGCCAGGATCCTGAAAGGATGCCGGTGTGACCAGAGAAGTGGTGCATAGATGGTGGAGGAGGAACTGTAGTACAGGGTCTTACAGGACATGTTAAGAAATTTTCTCCAACCCAAGAGCAATAGGTAATTGGAGCATATTTGAAGCAGAAGTCATGACAATCATATTTATGTTAAGAAAGGATCATTCTAGTTGTGGTATGGAGAATGGATTGTAGGGAATTCTAGGAAATCAGTTAGTGGGCTACTTATAGTAGTCCAGGCAAGAACTGTGAGGACTCTGACATGGCAGGTGGTGGTATGGGGATACATGGATGGATTTGGGAGATGTGGTGAATTAGATATTGGGGCGGGGTGAGAAAGAGGGAAGGGTTGAGGATGGCTTCTGAGTTTCCAGCATGCAGAAGGACATCAGTAGTAGTACCATACAATTCCCTGAAATAGAGAGCAAGGGACGAGTATCAGGCATTAGGGCAAGGTCATGAGTTCTGTTTTCAATTGTGTTAGCTTTGAGGTGCCTTGAGACATTCAAGTGGAGACATTTCAAGTGGGCTCTTGAATGTACTAGTAAAAGAACTGGATTAGAGATAGGAATCTGTGAGGTATCTGCGTTGAGGTGTTAATTAAAGCTGTGGGTGTGGATGACATCACTTTGGGAGAGATGATAGAATGAGAAGAATAGACTTTGTACCCTGCCTTGAGGGATTCCCAATATTTAAATGGCCTCGTCAAGAGGACTGAGTCAAGAAGGAGGCAAAAGGAGCAACCAGGGAGACAGGCAGGAAAAATTAGGGTGGTGGTGAGTCACAGAGGACGAGGGAGGAGTAGCTTTAGAAGAAGGGTGTAAGCAGCACCTTCAGCTGCTGCCAAGAGCTAACGCGCACTAAAGACAGAGTCGTACTTCCAGCAGGCTGGTCTTCGGTGAGTGGCTAAAAGCTGTAAAGTGCTAGGTGAAGAAGCCCCATGGGACTGGGCTGGGAGGGACCAGGAGAAGATGTGGACTATAGCACACACAGGTGGACTCTTTTTAGACGTTTGCTTAGGTTGAGCAGTAGTGGGAAAGGGCTCTGGGGTTGGCCAAGGGAGAGCTTATTTGATTTTGTTAATGGGAGTCTTGATCATATTTGAAACTGATTGGGGAGAAAAAAATCAAGTGAGAAGGAGTTGGCTATATGAGGAGGTGAGAAGACAGACAAGTGAGTTCCTCAGAAAGCCAGAGGGTTTCCATAAGTAGCCCACTAACTGATTGCCTTGAATTCCCTACAATCCATTCTCCATATCACAAGTATCTGCATAAGCAGGCGAGTACAGTGGTTAGCAGATAGGGGAATGCCTTTGATGTCCCACCCCTCCTCAGCCTGTAATACAGGTGACAGTACCATCTTCTCAGTGGGAAGAAGAGGGCTTTAGACGTGGGTCCAGGTTGCCTTTCATCTAAGAAATACCATAAGTTGTTTCTATTTCCTGGCTTCTCCCCTTTTTTTAATAGCTTTATTGAGATAACTCATATATACCATTCACCCATTTAAAGTGTACATTTCAGTGGTTTTTAGTTTATTCACAGATAATGTGCAACCGTAATCACAGTCAATTTTAGAACATTTCATCACTTCAAAAAGAAACCTCCTACCTTTTAGCTATCACCTTCCTCCCTTCTTATTCGTCTTTTACTGTCAGAGCATAGAGTGTGGTCTGAATTCAAATCTAAAATCATATCATGATTTCAAAGAAGAGTACCTGTAAGCTGAGGCATATGAAAGGTTGCCGAGAGCCTCAAAAGTGTGATCTAGTCAGAGATGCACAGGGGGCTGGGCCTACTACTTAGGGTCACTGGTGTTAAATCAGCAGATAACACACACAGGAAATGCACTAAATGCCAGGTTCTTCCCTGTCAGAGAAAATAGCTTAGGAATAAAGATGAATAAAATGAAATTACAGAAATAACCCATGTAATTAGTTTGTAAGAGAACATTTTCTGTTGATAAATGATTTTATATATTTGTCCCTCAAAAGCACATTTTGGGGTACTTAAACTTGGTTTGTGAGATGATGAGCTGCTATCAGAAACCTAAGGCATTCACAGAATCAGGCAGTAACAGCTGACTGGAGAAGGTAAAGATTCTGCGGACCACTGATACTGAAGAAGTTCTGCGTGGGATTGCTAGGATCATCTTAAACATCTCGAAAAGAAAATCCTAGTCATCAGAAATCAGCATAGGCTTAGGGAAAAGGTCATAGCAAATTAACTTAATTTCATTGTCTTATATTCAAGAAATATGGAAGAAATAGTATATAGCTGACCCTCGAACAACACAGGGGTAGAGGGCACAGATTCCCCACACAGTCAGAAATCCACATAAAACTTTCAACTCCCCCAGAACTTAACTACTGGTAGCCTGCTGCTGACTGTAAGCCCCACCGGTAACATCAGCAGTCACCACATTTTGTATGTTACATGTATTGTATACTGTATTCTTACCATGAAGTCAGAGAGAGGAAAGAAAATGTTACTAAGAAAATCATAAGGAAGAGCAGGGGCACCTGGGTGGCTCAGTGGGCTAAGCCTCTGCCTTCAATTCAGGTCATGATCTCAGGGTCCTGGGGTCGATCCTCGCATCAGGCTCTCTGCTCAGCAGGGAGCCTACTCCCCCACCCCCCTGCCTGCCTCTCTGCCTACTTGTGATCTCTCTTTCTCTGTCAAATAAATAAATTAAAATCTTAAAAAAAAGAAAGAAAATTATAAGGAAGAGCAAATACATTTCTAGTACTGTCCTATAAAAATAAATGGGTGTATAAGTGGACTAGCACAGTTCAGACCCTTGTTGTTCAAGGGTCAAGTGTTATTTTATCCAGGTGTTTAACAGAAAGCCTTTTGAGGGGCACCTGGGTGGCTCAGTTGTTGGGCATCTGCCTTCAACTCAGGTCATGATCCCAGGGTTCTGGGGTCGAGCCCCACATCAGGCTCCCTGCTCACCAGGAAGCCTGCTTCTCCAACTCTCCCCTTGCTTGTGTTTCCTCTCTCACTGTCTCTCTGTCAGATAAATAAATAAAATCTATTTAAAAAAAAAAAACCTTTTGAATATGATTTGGAAATAGGTTTATATGTAAGTGGCTGAGTGACCATGCCCAAAGATTATGAGTAGATCGTTCATGAAAAGAGCATGATGATTCAAAGTCATAATGGTAGGTTCTGTTCAGAGTTATCTCTTTTTCGGTGTTTTGGTTAATGATTGAGGCCGTGGGAGGCATACTTATCAAATTTGCAGGTAATGCAGATATGAGAGTGATAGCTGGTATGTTGGATGTCCTTCAGAATCCAGAAATAACCTCCACAGTGTTGAACAATGGGCTGTTAATGAGGTTAAATTAAATAGTGGGAGGAGTTGAAGCCTTCATTGCAGGGTCACTCAAAGACCTGGCTTCAAATGAATTATATGATTTAATTGCAAAAATTCTTAATGGTAGCCTCAGGGTACGTTAACGTTTGTGACATTTATAGGGAAGTCGTGATCTAGTGTCTTCTACATCTTTCCATCCTAAGTGGGACTGGAACATTAGCCCTACCTTTCTTAAAGGAATAGTTACGGAGGCTGAGAGGAGGTTTTCTGGAGAAGATCAGAGAGGGGCAGGCTGCTCCCTGATTTGGGGTGTGTCTTTGCACACTTCTCTCCGCTCTGGTATTCTGCCTTGCGGATTCCCAGCTGTCTCCGTGGGGCCTGGAGACCACCTGTTGTGCCTGCCTTCCCCCTCCCTGAGCAGTGGCCTGGAAGCTCTCCAGACGGCAAGCTGGGGCAATTGTGAGTTTCTCATTTATTCCCCTTCTCGTGAGGGTCACTGTCCTGTGCTGTCTGAAGTTCAGTGTTTTAAATGTAGTGTTTCATGTAATAAATTCCCCTATCTTTTCATCTTTTTTATGGGGGAAGGTAGAACGGGCTCTTGTTCCTCTCTTAGCCGGAAGTGGAAGCTCTTTGGTGATTATTTATTGCTAACATTTTAGTTCGGCATCCAAAGCCGCCTTCTGCTGTCATTCCCTTGTTCCCGCCACGCTTTCCTCAGACAGACTCTGTGCTTCTCTCCTCACTCATCCCCACCGCATGCCATTCCTTTCCCTCAGTCTCCTCTTCCCTCGTTCTCGCTCGTCAGTGGCTCTCCGTTCTCAGGGCCAGCCCGGCGGCCTCTTCCATGTCCTTTCCCTCCCACGGGAGGCAGAACTGAACCTTCTCTCTCTGTTCTGCTCCTGCCATCCTAACACACAGCGTACCTGTTGTCACTCTGCTGGCCTTCCCTCTGCCACACGTGTGTCGGTCCTCACATGTGTGCACACACGCATGTGCTCAGCTCCCGAGGGCCCGCGGCCCGCCCGAGTGTCTCTTACGGAGTTTTGGTGATATCATATGGAGAGAAGGTATGTAACAAATGGATGGATGCCATACATGGTTTTTTAAAGGAGTTGTTTTTCTCCTCTCCCCCACATCAGGCCACCGAAGAAGTTTCCAAAAATCTTGTCGCCATGAAGGAGATCCTGTACGGCACGAACGAGAAGGAGCCTCAGACAGAGGCCGTAGCGCAGCTGGCACAGGAGCTGTATAACAGCGGGCTCCTGGGCACGCTGGTGGCCGACCTACAGCTCATTGACTTTGAGGTGAGAAGCCGCTTTCTTCCCTTGCAAGCGCGCTACCTTCCTCCTGGTCCTTTTCCGTGTGTTCTCTCCTTTGAAAGACCCCAAGATTCCATCAGGCTTTTGGCAGCAGGGTTCCTGCCGTGTGAGCGGGCGCCGGCTGCCTGCCCCATGAGTGGAGCCGGGCAGGGGTGCAGGACCGCCTCCTCTCTCCCCACACTGTGTGTGAAGTTTCTTAGGTATTCGTTGTGTCCTTTTGTTTATATTATATTTAACAAAGAGCTGCTGCTTTACGTAATTCACTGGCCTTGGGTTCTCAAGGAGTCAACAATCTAAAGAAGACTAGAATTTCTGGCTTCTCTTGAAAATTTTGACTCTGGCAACATTGAGCCTGCAAAGCCTACCTGGCCTCAGCTGGAACGGAGCAGCTCCCACCCCGTGGCATACTGGGGTGTGCTGCACACAGCAGCTTGCTTTTCTGTCTCAGGGCCTGCTTCACCCAGCTGTGGCTCCTGCCTGGCCCTGGGAGGCGTTTGATATCACTGCCTGAGCTCATACAGCTGAATCGTGCCACGTCAGATGTTCAGTGAATTTAACAGTGACAGTAATGGTCCTTGATTCCAGTCTGAAAGGTAGTCTGAGAAGTCTCTATGGTAATGAAGGGCTCTAGCATGGGTATGAGCAGGTTCCTCTGAGTCTTTGTCATGGGTGTGCCTTGTTTTAAGCCCAGGGTTTATCGTCCTGAGTGATCAGTTTACTGTCTGTCCAGGTGCTTCAAAAACCAGGGGAGAGGATTGCAGACAGGTAATCAGATCCAACTTGGGAGAGCAGTGGGAGGGTGTGGTTCATAGGTTACTTGAATATAATTTTCATACTAAAGGACAATAAAAATTTACTTCTGTAGAACAGATGATAAAGTTACTTCCCATGTATATAGATGATATCATGTATTTTTAATAGTGTATCAAATTCCACCAAAAGCAATTTCTGTTTCCTCTGCAAAGTTGGGAATGCAGTGTTCCTTCTGCTTTGTCCACCCATCTCATTCCCTGACCTGGACACTGAATTTAATACTCATTTGAGACTCAAATTTAAGAGCAGTGTGTGCCCTTGATGTGTGTTCTTAGAGATTGCCATTGCTTCTCCTGACCTAGCACAGGGCCCAGGATGGTCTCTGGCGCTGGAAAGCTCTCATTTCACTTACTCTCCTGCAGGCTTGTCAGCGTCGTACCAGGTGGCCATTCTGAAAAATCTCCGGGGTTTGTTTTCGTGTGTTAATTTCTTGTGCAGTTTTCTGATTATAAGGTTCACTGTATAGCAGTAAAGTCCTTCTATTTTGTTTGGTACAGGATGGTTTTATAGTTCTGATCTCTGAGCTGCTGCATCTTGTGGTACTTAGAGCCTTCATTATTAATCTATATAAAATCTCTCTGAAGTAGGCCTAGTTTAATAGGGGGATGTGTCTACTTGCCATGAAAGCTCAGCTGTTTACAGCATTCTTTCAGTTTTATTATACTAGCAGAAGGCAGCTTCTCTTCCTTATATCACTGTAAAAAGGAAATTATATGTATTGTTTACAACACGAGCATTTTATTTGAGGCTGCTTGTTCCATATGGGTGGGAATCAGATACCTGAACACTGTAAGCATATAGCAGGGTTTTATTTTTCATATCTGAGTCCACATGATCCGAAGGGCTAGAAATGGTTGAAATTATACGCAGTAAGATTTCACTTTGTGAACATAAATTGCTCATGTTAAAAACAGTGTACTACTAAAACGTAGAATTTGGAATTATAAATAAATACAAAAATTTAATATCTGTGAACATTTTAAAGTCAGATATTCAGTCATACAAATATGCAATGCATTAATTTGAGTTTACTTGGGAGGGTGGATGGGCTCTTTGGCGGTTAGTCGGGTAAACATTTTAATGATTGTATTCCTAATAGGGCAAAAAAGACGTGGCTCAAATTTTCAACAATATTCTCAGAAGACAAATTGGTACAAGAACTCCTACTGTTGAATACATCTGCACTCAACAGAATATTTTGTTCATGTTATTGAAAGGGTATGTACAATGTAACAAAATTTATGTTCTCAGTTGAAAAATAAAAAGGAAAGATGGTCTTGGGCAAAGACAAGATGGTAAATGTGGGGTAGTATTTTCTCTGTAGTTCAATCAGTTTATTTTTCCATACATCTTAACACATTTCCCTCCTTAAAATTCAGCCAATGAGCTAAACTCCCATATGGGAGTTAAAAGGTAGGTGAATCATGAGCCCTTAAATTCTCAAATCCTATACAACTGAAGGAAAAAAGTCTTCTTTGGTCTTACCTCTAGTCCTTAGATTTTAAAAGGTTTTCTGAACTATCAGTTAAATGATGTGTTTCAAGACGTCTTTGGACAGACCTGCACACAGTGAGGCAGTAGAGCTGCCCGAGAAGTAGAGCTCAGGTGCTGTATAGCTTATCTGTGTTGTGTCAACAAAGGACATGTTTACGAAGTCTGCCCTTTGCTTTTTACCTGTGTGTGTCCACTCACTAACCCACTTAGTTGGTAACTCACCTTGCATCTTCTTGGAACGAATGACTGGGCTGATAAGCAGGCATTTATGGTAGTGTGTTACTATCAGCAAACAAACAAAAACCAAAAAAGCCTGAAAACTTCAAAACAAAAGAAAACAAATCCTCTTCTCCCTCAGGAGTGAGCCTCCCTGATTGGCAAGGTCACCCCCTGTGTTTCGCACAAGAGTTGTTTGCCAGCTCTGGGTCTGTTGTGCATCTGTTTGTCCCAGCATTGGTGCTGTTCTATTAAATTGGCGGACGAGCATTTTACTGGCATCAGTGCTGGCGTGAATCAGCTTGCTCTCCTACCCCTCGCTTTATAGCTTGCCTCCCTCTGATTCATATCTCTGCGGTTTAACACTTCCCCCAAGTTCAGACTTGTTTAGACAGAGCGTGAGTCAGTGCATGTGTTTGATGCCAGCATTCTATTTCCTTCTTTCTATTTCTAAATATCTATGTTGCTTCTTCAGATGTTGCCATACAAAACTTTTGGCATCTAATTTTTTGTTGTTACCAATCCAGAGTTGCATGTGTAAACACATAGTGAGTAGTTTGAAAATTTGGTGTTCTTAGAGCACCTTCCAGATGCCTTTGTGTATTTTTAAACCGAGTATTTCCTTTTCCATAGAAAGCAATGGTTATTAAAATCTGTAAATTAGTTTGCGTATATTTTCACTTGAAAGTAGCCAGAGGTATGATATAAATATTGTTAAACATTATGTAAAGTGAGAATTTTAAGGTACAATTTAAAGGAGAATTGAAAGCTCTCATGTGAGCGGGCCAGAGCAGAAAACTCAGTGAACGGGGAGAAGCCTAGAAAATGCAGCTGGTATTGGTCTCCCCTTTTTAGCCTTTAGAGCAGAAAATGTGCAGAAAGCTGGAGGGAAGAAAATAACCAGCCTTTTCCTACCCCTTCCCCAACTCTGCCTGTCACTAACCTCCTGTCACTCTTACTTGTAACCCTTGCCTCCTCCTCTCCCTCCTTACACACAGCAGTATTTCAGTACGCATCCCTAGGATTTTAGACATAAACGTCCGAGGATTTGTTTTTTACCATAGTCATGATACCACATACAAACCCAATGTTATCTTATACTCAGTGTTCAGATGTCCTGGATTTTCACCCACAAAGCTCCATTTTTCAGTTAGTTTGTTTAAATCCAGTTCCAAGCAAGGTCCACAAACTGAATTTGGTTCATATGACTCTTATGCCTTCTCTTTTCTTTCTTTCTTTCTTTCTTTTTTTTAATACCATTTACCTGTTGAAGCAACTGGGTCATTTGTTCTATAGAAAAATGACATATTTTGGATTTTGCATCCCTGTGGTTTCATTTAGTGTGTTTCTTTGTCCTCTGTTCTTTTAAATTGGTGAACTAGTCATTATAAACTCAAGTCTGGGGGTAGGGGGAGTTTCCATATATTTGATGTATTTCAGTCCATTGCAGTCATTATGTCCAGATTTTTATATCCACATTGTGTCATCATTGGGCCATTGGGAAGCTCCTTCAAGTTGGTACTCATGTCCTTTTGGCAAGACCCTATTAGTCTTTGACTGCTTCATGTTTTCTGGCACAAGATGTCCCTTGCTCATTTTGTACGGGTTCCTGTCCCAGACATGGAAACAGCCATTTCCTCAAGGAACCTTGCAAGCTCCCGTTTAAGATTTCTGTACCTTAGTTCGTGAGTTGAGACCGTTTGCATGCAACGTGACCACCTGCATAGGCTGGAAGTACTTTGTTGTTCGACATCAGGGAGAGACTTCTGCTGCTGGTGTCCGTGTGTGCTTGAACGTAATCTTGTTGCTAGCGTTCAAAGGCATCTGGAGGCAGTAGTTTTTCCTCTGGTGACTTGACGTTGATGTGTTTTCCTCCCTAGTGCTAACAGGCTGTGCAGCATAACTGTCTGCCCTGTACTCAATGGTTTATGGCTTAATCATTTAAGACAAGCTTGACAAACCACCATCAAAACCTGCCCGATTTGTTGTACCAAACTGTCTTACTCTTGTCTTTCTAGTCTCCTGATTATTAAATTAAGGTCAGTGAAGGTGAATGGTACGATCAGCCATTTTGTGAGCAGACATTTTCAGGACCAAAGCTCTGGTCAGCATTCTAGTTGCTGGGCCACATGTGATACAGAAGAGTCATTTGGATCTTCTTGAAGCTCCATGATGAACCTTTGTATGACAGAGGGATACCAGTGCTAGAGAATGAGTAGTATTTTAGGATTTCAGGGGAGGAAGTGTTTAGTCATTGAGGCGCAAGGGTTGGTACAAGAGGTGAGACTAATGATCGGAGTTCCAAAGGTTTGGAATTTGCATAGTTAGGAAAAAAGAGATTGGGTCCAGGGATAGGAATGAACATAGTGATGGGCAGCAATAAGGAAATAGGAGTGAGTGCTTGATGGCAGAGTGGGAGAGGACATTGTACGCTAGGAACAGATCTGATGAGGGGAAGCCTGGGCATTAAGCCCAGAAATTTGTCTTTACTTGATTAGCAAGTAGAAATCATTTGGAACTCCTGAACTGGAAATGCTATTGATACCCTAGTGTATTGGGTAAATGGGTTAGACACAGCTTAAACAAAGATACTACTGGTCAGGGAGCTCCCGCCTTTCTCTAGGGGAGAGTTAATGCAACAGTGGGGATGGATGAAAAGAAATGAAACTAAAATATTTCAGAGAAGTCTTATTCAAAAGGATGGGTGGTGGCGACACCAAAGATGGGAAGGTTTGGATGTGCTGAAAGGGGAAAGGTATGAACTGTTCTGTCCAGTGCGGTACCTCCTAAACACACTCCATCGTTTTGCTTTAAATCAATTTAAATTAAGTAACATTTAGAATTCAGTCCCTCAGTCAAGCTAGCCAAATTTCAAGGGCTCACTAGCCACATGTGACTAGCAATAACTACCACAGTGAACAGCACAGGTATAGAACACTTACATTATCAGATGAGAAAGTTCTGGAAGACCTGTTTTAGACCTGGGTATCTGAAACAAAATCGTGGCACCAGGTTATAAAAATGAGGAAGCAGGGGAGGGCGGCTGTTTTGCTGAGGGAGATGAGATTTGAATTTAGATATGTAGTGCTTCTGGTAGACTTTTAACTGAAGTTGTCCAGAGGCAACTTCAGAGAAAAGGGAGAGGCAACCAGAGAAAATGCCTAACTAGAGTTCAGAAGCAAACCTGAGTAGGGGAATTGTGGAGTCATGGTGGGATCCATGAAAGTGTACAGGCAATCACTGGTAGACTGGCAGCCACGGAGGTAGGCCCTCAGCCAGGCAAGAAATAGGAACGGTCTGAGGGGCAGAAAGGAGAACTGAGAGAGCTTTTTCTTTTCCTTTTTCAAAGACAGAGATGCAAAGGTTGGCAGTGTGGGGACACTAAGTAGGGTGTAGAACTTACATTATGGGAAAAGTTTCTTTTAGCCAGGAAGAGGTCTTTTGCAAGTAGAACATTGGGAAATGCAACCAGTGCAGGAGGGTTGAGGAGCCGGTATGTGGGAAAGACACGAAGCCAGTGCATGCAGTCCAAAAGGCAGTGGAGGGGCCAGGGGCTGTCCGCGAGGCTGGACCCCCATCAGAAGGGACTGGGCAGCGCAGCTGAGAGGAAAATGGGGCTCCTTCCTGATCGAGGTGAGACACAACCGTGTGTGCGTGACTGATGTCGGGGTATCCCCAGCACCCACCGGGGGGCGGGGGTCCTCCAGGCTCTCCTTGACAAGCAGACTGTGCCCTCCTCAGATCAAGCTTTCAACTTTGTAGGGTTCACGTTACCAAGAGTCTTAAAGGTTCTGTTTTAACTACTATATTGAAACAATGAAGTACAAATGCTATATATTTGATACACTGTTTTGGATATCAAAATGCTGTTTTGGATATCAAAATGCTATTTTGGATACTAGGAATTAGAGAAACCATTTTGTTTCATAATGGTTTTTGGTTCAGCTTTTGGCTTTTCTGAAGTCTCAAGAGCACCACACGTAAATCTTACCCCTATTTGGAGGTGTGACCCTAAATACTTCTCTAATCTTTTAGCTAAAATATGACATTTATTATTTATTTATCGTTATTTTTCTTTGGTTTGAAGCGTTCGTCACCAGCTAGTGCGTGCGTGCCCTCTGGAATAACTTCCCCTGAGCGGTAACCTGCTCTGGTCACTTAATTAGGGCACATCTGAAACTGTCCCGTGTTAGAGGAGTTTGAAAACCGCAGTCATGGTTTGTTTTCTTTTTGTAGGTATGAATCTCCAGAAATAGCTCTAAACTGTGGAATAATGTTGAGAGAATGCATCAGACATGAGCCACTCGCAAAAATCATTTTGTGGTCAGAACAATTTTATGATTTCTTCAGATATGTCGAAATGTCAACATTTGACATAGCGTCCGATGCATTTGCCACATTCAAGGTAACATAAAACTATAGAATTCTAAATACACTTGTAAGTCTGATTAACTGGTTTGCTGTTTTTTCCCTGAATCTCTAAGCTCCAAGTCTATACGCGGCTGCCCTCTAGCGGGAAGGGAGAAGATGTGTTTTCTGTGAGTCTGTGTGACTTCGGTGTATGCGGTGGAGTCACCGCTTACAAGGGGTGGATGAGTTCGACTGTAAGCTCTCTAAGTGTGGTTGGTGTGATCAAAATTATACTTTTCTGTTAAATTACCCATTAGGTGTGGTGTATTGATACATGAACGTCTAACAAACAGGTTTTTCCCCTGTGTTGGAACACACTATAGTAGTTTCTTTGGTTAAACACCAGACAAAGTAGTAGTCTTCTGTTCAGGGCCATGCTAATTTGGAATAGGCACGTCTTCAAGTACTAGAACCACAATCAGGACAGAGATTTCCACGTTGTGGACAGCCCCAAGGGAACAATGGGCTGAGCTCTCATCTCATGCTCATGCCAAAGCTTATTTGTCAAATGCTTGGGGGAAAGAGAGCAGAATCACCTGCACTATCCAAATGACTCTGTAGCCTCTCTTTCCTGTATACCTCATCTCCCTGTTGTATGTATGTATAAACTAAATACACATCTGATACGATACCACTGTACAACGCGTGCATTTTTGTTGTGCATTGCAAGGTTCTGTGCTGTTTACACAAAGCAGCAATGTTTATTAGCGTCCTTCACAATGAAAGTAAAGCTTTTAGATGTTACATTCCATTATATAAAATGTCTGCCCTCCTAAGTGAATATTTACTGCTACTTTAATCAGAATTTAATATAGTAACCCACAGACTACTTTGCTCAGAAACCATGCACACTGTTTTAGTGAGAAGTAGCCACTTTTCTTGTGAGGGTTCGGTTTTATGACGATAAAGAACCCTTGAGATAATGAGCACACACCTTGGTTCCTGGGTAAAATTTGTCCCTCACTGTGAGTGAACTCCTAAAACAGGATGAAAACCTGGGGAGCTGGCCCTTAGGGTTTCTCATGGAACGAGAATAAGGTAATAGTGTAAGAGGTGCCCAAGGATTCATTTCCCGGAAACCATTAAAGAGGATATCAGAAGCCTTAGGTAAGATCTTAGATATTTTTATGTCAATGTACAAAACAAAATGAATTCGAATTCGGTTTTATAACAGAGCCACAAATGTGATTTCTTTTGTGTCCCTGCATTTTGGGGCTAGGACTCATACTTAGGATATATCGGTGGAAGGGGATACCCCATTCAAAAGCAGCAGGCCTGTTTCGGAGAGAGGTATGGTAACCCTATGTGTTGGGAAGAGATCTGTGCAGAAAGCAAGCCACGAGCTGAGGGCGACCACTGTGGGAGAGGCAGGTGGGGGGAGAGCAGAGGAGTGCACATCAGTGCCTGACCCAAGAGGGCGCGGGCAGCACAGCTGGCCCACGGGTGAGAGAGCCTTGTTTACACAGGCCGGCGGGTTAGGCGCAGTCTCTAACTGTCTTCGTTGGCCTTGCCGATAATTTCATGATCAGCCCTCAGTTAGGGCTGCTGCTTAGAGTTACATTCTCACCTGGGAATCCCTGTGGGGAAAGCCGCCCTGTCAGTTCACGTTAGCCAGAGAGGGAGAGACTGGGCAGCGCCTGGCAGGTAGGTCTACTGAGGAAGGGAAGTTTTCTAGCACAGTGCAGGATGCCAGGAGTGGACTGTGGAAGAGGCACACTGAGAAGCTGCCCTGGCCTGTGTGTCTCAGCTGCTCCTGACCACACGGCAAGGGAGGAGCCCTTTCAAGAGGCCCCTGAACAGAGAGCTCTCCCAAGAAACCAAATCAAGGAGAGTCCAAACCAAGACAGCATGGGAGAGAGCAAGCGACCCAGAGCTGTCAGGCAGACCTTCCCTCCCAACCCTTCCTAGAAGGAACCCGGGTCAGCACAGGGACAGTCTCACACTTCCTGCCAGAGGACTCTCCTCTCCTCATTTGCTCGTGTCCTCTTTGAGAGACTGTTCGTGTCATGGAAAAAGGAGGCTAGATCTATGGCTTGCACCATCCTTGAAGAATATGACCAGACCCATGTCTCCAGAAAATGCACCCTGCACAAAAAAACTGTCAGACAAATGCAGCTCATCCATAAACCTGAGTTTAGAGTCTGTGGAACAGGTGCTGAGTCTCAAAAGGAAATTAAAACTACCTGCTCCAGAAGCACCTGACTGGCTCAGTCGGAAGAGTATGTGACTCTTGATTTCGGGGTCGTGAGTTCGAGCCCCATGTTGGGTACAGAGGTTACTTAAAAAATAAATTAAAAAAAAAAATCAAACCACCTGCTCTAAATGTGTCCACGATTTGCAGCTTGAATTAATATGTACTAAGATAGTAAATCAGTGGCCAAATGTTGTTCGTGTTTTCTTTTTTGAGGACTTAAGGAGATGGGGAGGGGGCATCAGAAGGCCAACAAATATATTTCCAATTTTTCCAGAGTAAAAGAAGGTAGATTCCCCAGAGAGGCTGGTGGAGCTTGGAGCTTGATGTTATACCTGTGTAAGTTTCTAGAAAGTATTTCTAAAGGATGATTTCTGAGCATTTTGGAAAGGAAACCATGTACCCACAGCCAGCATGGATTCACGAAGAGTAAGTTCAGTCCTATTAATCTCATAGTTGCCAGTAGCTGAAGGGATAAGAGTGTGTGGCTGCCTGGGTTCATTCCCAGCTCTGCTGTGGATTTAATCTCAAGCTCTTAATCTGTTAAATTGGAGGTAATAATACTAGTATGTCAAGGTTATTGTGCCTCCACACAATGTGTGTGCAGAAAATAGTAACTGTTAGAATTATCCCTTTATGACCATAAGGATATACTGGATATTGAATAATCATAGAGATTTGTTTTTATGGAATCGATGAAAAGAAAGGAGCTAAAGTTTCAGCGTAGTGATTTACATCTAAATGAATGCCCTATCCATAAGGTGCTAGAGAACGGATTTGCCATCACCCCGGAGAGAAATTTCTTGTGGCTTTTCACTGGGCTTTGTCTCAGCCCAGCTGAACATTGTTAATGACTTAGATAAAGGGTGAGGAGGCCTTGTTATCAAATATGAGGTGATAGCTGTGAAGGGAGAGATAGCAGACAGTGGTGATCCTAGAATAAGGCTTCACAGCCATCTGCAGAGGCCATAACAGGACAGGATGATGACTGAGGTCTTCGGAGTTCCTCAAGGGGAAGGAGTTCCAACTCTAAAGGATATGGGAATAAGACATAATAATACAGTTAATACTCAGTATAATACTTTCTAAGTGTAATAGTTACTAAAATGTAGGCAATTTCATATCCAACTCAACCATCTCCTTTACAGATAAGGAAACTGGAGTCTAGAAATATTGGGTGAAGTCAGGCTATAAATGGGGAAGCCAGAATTTGAACCCAGGCAGTCTGCTTCCAGAGCCCACTCTGAGGAAACAAAATTCTGAATCTGTCCTGTAACATTAAACAGTGTGATGCTGCTGCCCCAGAGCTACATGCGACCACATAGTGTCTGACCTAAGGAGCTGACGATGGTCTCACCCCACTATAAGCCATTAAGGTAACAACACATAAATGTGCTCCGTTCCAGGCACTACACTTTAAGAGACACATAGACAAATAGATGACTTTCAGAAGACAGTAGATGGTGAGGGGGACTCAGAACCTGTCATGTGAGGAGTGGTTAAAGGAACTTGGACGTATTTAGCCTGGAGAAGAGAAGACTCGGTAGGGACTTGCTGTGAGAGCACCACATGTATGTGAGGTGGCGACCTGTAGAAAGTGGGTTGAACCTATTTCTGTAGGCTCTGGCAGTTTCTGGAAATAACCAGGGGATAGGTTTGACTCCAGCGGAGGGAGAACTTTCTAACCCTTAAGACCTCCAAAGGAGAACCACACAGTTGGGAGAATTGAGTCTTTTGTCTTGGGACATGGTCAAGCACCAAGGAGGGAAACGAGCCACACAATTTGCCAGGGCTCTGTGAAATCGAGCCCTGGGATCAGTGGCATTACCTCAGGGACCCCAGGGCCATCTTTGCCACATGGTGTTTGAGGCCCCAACTTACTAGCTTTTAAGAATCTTTTCAAATTCAGCATACCCTAAAAGTTGGCTGCTCATTCTGCTGGGCTCGGGAGATGACCCCTGCCTTCCTCCCAGTCCTGCCAGGGCCTGGGGTATACTAGAACTTAGATAGGGAAGAAATCAGAGATCCCGCTCCTTCCCCCCACTGCTAGCAGACCCAGCACCTCCTGGTCTGGGAGTACATGGCATTCTGGAAATTCTGCAGGTTGCTGACCACTGACTGCATGACCTTTCCCCTTTGTCTTCTCTGTTGAGTTCTGTCCCCCGCTGTGGTTTGAACTCAGCAGAGCTCTTGGCTCTAGCCCCGAGGCTGAGGTTCCTTCTCATCTCTCAGTAGGTAGAGGCTCTGCCCAAGTCCCCACCTCTTTTCCCTGCTTAGAATCCACCTTCTTCGCAGCTGGCTCTCAGCAGTTGCCCCTTTCCTACAGATGTGTCACTCCTATCTAGGCCCTGGTATGTCCTGTCTTGACAAGGAGCTTTCATCCTGTGCTGAGTTGGAGTTTGGCTCCTACTTCAGCAGTCTCAGAGCTCCCCTTCAGTCTCCGACCCCAAGGCTGTGAGATTTGATTCCCAAACTGACAGTAGTTTCCTGAGTTTCCTGGTGTCTTGAAACCAGATGGTGATAGAATCTTCCCCAGATGGCGAGATGTTTGAGTCCCCCTTTTCCTGTCCGACCCAGCTGTGAGGCTCTTGCTTCTATTTGAGACCTATCCTTCAGAGTACTTTCCTTACTCAGAACTTCAATAAAAATCTGTTGTACCACGTATTTAGGACTTTTGCTTTCCAGAGCAATATTTTCTACTACCTGTCCCTAATATCAACCCCAGTTGAGAGCCACTGTCTTTAAGACCCCTGCCTTGGGCATTTTCTTCTGTCAGATTATGGCAAAACCACAAACACTGGGTTCCTTTTGCTGTACTTCCTTATATTGGTCTCCAGGATGATTTAACCACAGAAAAAGTGGAAATGACACTTACTTTTGCAGGAATCCTGACACACTAATCCCTTAATCGGCTAATTCATTTGTTCATTCAGCTCACACCTCAAGCCTGAGCGCCAGCCCTGTGTCAGGTACTGTTTTGTTAGGTGCTGAGGCTCGACAGTGAACGAGACAAACCCTTGCCCTTGAGGCTCCTGCGCAGGGAGGACCGCCATAAACAGAGGACAGTAGCTTGGAGGAGGAAGGCCTTTAACAAGCATCCTTGATATATTCGAGGTCTTGTGTACCTCCCTCCCGGATAACTGACTCCTGCGGGCCAGTATGCTAAGATAATACAAATTCTCCTTTCCCTCCCTGCCCCCGCCACCTCCTGCCCCATTTGGGGAAGCTTTATGGCATTTCTTTTCCAGCTTCTTGAGGCTGCTCAAACATCAGGTTTTCTAATTTTATCGATTTAATCCCCAAAGGGAATTTGGAAAAAAATTAGGTCTTTCCTGGGCATACAGTACATACCCTATCCAGCAGTTTGAACACCTGTAAATCTTTGGGGTGGTTAGAAGCCTTCTTGAAAGCATACTTTGAAGATTGCTTGATGTAATATTTTCCCAAAACTGTACCCTGCTTTTGTTGGTTCATTCATTTATCAAATATTAAGCTCTTACTATGTGCTGGGCATTGCATGGGTGCTGGGGATTCAAAGATTAGTAAAATAGACATGACTGTTATATATTTAGAACATAAAGTCTAGCATGAGAGAGATGGTAATCAGATAATCCCACAGACGTAAAGACAACTCTGTCCATGCTTCGGTACTGGTGACCAGTCTGGAAGATTTCTCTACCGCAGCGATGTGGGAGCAAGGTTCGGAGGTGGTAGTTAGCTGGGCTGAGGGGAAAGCCTGTGTGAGGAGTCCCTTTTAGGGAAGGGCAGTCACATAGTAGACAACAAAAGAGCTCCCTGCAGGATCACTCGAGACCTGCCAGATCCCCACGAGGATGCAAGAGTTGTAGTGCTTTCCACACGTGTTTGACCATGGAGCATTTCCTAGAGCATTTCTCAGGACTGGCCTTACACTTGGACGTACTTCAGGAAACACTAGTTCATCGTGACCTGGGCCACTCAAACATCAACAGCTAAGAAAACAAGGAGAGTTGGTTTGGAGAACAGGGATTATTGGCACTAAGCTCTCCAATGGGTGGCTCTAAAGGAATTGTCTTCAATTCAGTAATTCACCAAGTAGTGACTGACTGTTTCTGCTGTCACATGTTCCATTCTCTTCCCACCTGGTGAGACCAAGGCTAGTTCATTGCTAACTTCCAAGTCCTTAAAGGCAGGAACCACATCTTTTTATCTTTGTAGCCCCAGCACCCAGAACTTTACCTGGCACATAGTAGATATTTTCTGAATGAATGACCCTTGAGTTGCATCCTGTGAGGGCCATATGGGTGAGGCATAAGCTGTAGTTTGTAGTCACGCGTAATTGGACTCTGAGACATTCTGAGGTTTGATACTACATTTTTGCAGCCTTAGTCTGCTTACTTAGGAGCTGATGTTTATAAGGTGGTGGGGTTTTTTAAAATTCTGTCCCTGAGAAAAAGATTGCGTTAGATATGAAACTGAATGTAACAGAATTTAGGAGGAAGAGAATGGATCCTCCAACTTTCTCTAATGAAAGAAATTTCCTTTCTCCACCAGGAACAGTATCCTATTTGACATTTTAACCACAATCATTTACTTTTATTTCACTTTATTGCTTTATTCCCTTTGTTTGAATTTGTATTTCTTTGAATTTGTTTGTTTTTAAACTTTTCCTTCTAAGATTTGTAGACCTGTGACCAATCACAATCATTACAGTTTTAAATTATTAATGATTTGATTCACTTTTACCTAGAATCAGCATTTTGAATATAATTCATGTTCAAATGTTTTTAAGTATAGTGATTTTTAACAACAGTTTTTATCAGGTAAAGTGGCGTGGCATGTTTTAGGATTCTCTTTTCTAAAGAATTTGAATGCAGAACAACTGTAAAATTGCGTCTTTTCTTTCTCTAGGATTTACTTACAAGACATAAATTGCTCAGTGCAGAATTTTTGGAACAACATTATGATAAAGTAAGTATATGAACTAGTACCTTAAAATTATAAGTTTGGGAGCATCTGGGTGGTCCAGTCAGTTAAAGCATATGACTCTTGGGGCACCTGGGTGGCTCAGTCGTTAAGCATCTGCCTTCAGCTTAGGTCGTGATCCCAGGATCCTGAGATTGAGCCCCATATCAGGTTCCCTGCTCAGTGGGAAGCCCCTTTTCCCTCTCCTACTCTCCCTGCTTGTGTTCCCTCTCTCGCTGTCTTTCTCTGTCAAATAAATAAATAAAATATTAAAAAAAAAAAAAAAAAGAAAAGGCATATGACTCTTGATTTCATCTCAGGTTATGATCTCAGGTTCATAAGATCAAGCCCCATATCAGGTTCTGGCCGTGCTGCCTGTAGAGCCTGCTTAAGATTCTCTGTCTCTCTCCCTTTGCCCTCCTCACACACATGCGCATGCGCTCTCTCGCGCTCTCTCTCTCTCTCTCTAATGAATTGTAAGTCTTGTACCAGAAATGAAAGACTTAAGTTAGATTTTTATGCCAGATACTTATTTTGCATATGTTTATAACGGTTTTATATGGTGCTATCATCATTTCTCTACTGAATTGAGGTAATAGTCTTAACTTGGTCAGGAGTAGAATTTTATCTTTTTGATTGACACAGTACCCTTTGCATCTTTTCTTGCTTTAGGGAAGGAAGTAAAAGTGCTTTGTTGCCAAATGACAATATACAATTAAGATAAAAAAATTATTATAAGACTTAACTCTCCCTTCATTTCCATCAGTTGCTGACATTCCTGTTGCTTCTAGGAGAGGGAAGGAAGGGGCGTGACCACGAGAGTGAGAAGAGCACTAGCCTAGAGGGCTCTGCTGCTGCCTTCTTGTGGCCATGACCAAGGCCGTTACCCCTGGGGGACTCAGACGTCCGTCCTCCTTTTAAAGTGAGGACAGTGGACTAGCCCAGCAGTAGGGTTCCTTCTGGTTTGAGCCCATGTTACACTGCCGGGTACTGAACTGGAAGTTCATCAACAATCCTGAGTGCTCTAGATCTGCACAGCAGCCCTCAGGCCACAGTGCCCGGGCTCTGCTCCCCACCACACCCACGAGCGCCTCCTAATGCTAGACTAGCTTAATGCCGTGCTGTCCACAACTGGATGTGTCTGCTTAGAGAAGCTGGGATAGTAACAGCCCATTTATAATTCCCATCTAACCCATGAGATCTGGCTTAACTTTCCATTCTTCCACTGGTCATTTGAACTTTTGAAATCCTAGGCACATTATGTTCATCTGTTCATTATTCACTTTGCTGTTCAACTAAATTGTAAGATGCTCGGAGGCAGAATCTGCGCTTTTGAACTCATGCATGCTCCTCTCTCCCTCCCGCTCAGTAACATCCATCATGCAATGCTCAGTACATAGGGAGTCCCTCATAGAAGGCCTTACGAGTGGCTTAAACATTGCTGGTCGCCTGGTTTTTTTAATTTTCCATTTGGACATGGTATGTTTCTTTGCATGTGTGTTGGTTCAAAATGGGGGCCTTTCTACAGCAGTTAGAAGCATGGGCTTCGGCACCAGGCTGCCAAGAGTCTGGCTGTAAGTTCCAGCCCCACCTTGGGTGGCTGCCTTCATTCACCCTCTGCCCTCAGAATCCTCAGCCCAATAAGAAGGCTTGTAATAGCAGCGTCTCTGTTGTCATGGGCTGCTATGAGGACCTAGAACGTGTGTGTCGTGGGCATGATGGCAGCAGCTGGAACTCAGTGAGCAGCTAGTAAACATCGGTGGGTTGTTCGTGTTGCTGCCAGGTCTCAGGGATTCTCTGACTGAGCACACTGGTGTCTTAGCTTAAAGCCCACCGAAGGCACAAACTAACAGTGACATTGGTTTAGTTTTGTAGTAAAATAGTTTCCTACATGTTAGTAATGGATGACATTGGTTAACAGGATTTGAGGAGAATTTCTGGGAGGCAGCTGACAGAAGTGTGTAGACGGTGAGGTCAGATCTGAGGGATCGAAAAGGCGAGCGAGCGGCCAGGGGTGTGATTACATAAGACTATGTCACCGGAAGTACCGCACACCTGGGCCCTGAGCTTCCTAATAACCAGAAGGATAGAGGGAAACAGAAGCCATTAAAAAATCACAGCACCTGTAAAACAAAACACATTTCTCCCATTGGGTCAGAGGAATGGGTCAGAGTGGCATGCAGTGGACGCAGCCCTCAGGATGACTGAGATGCCGAACTGAAGTGTGGTTAGTTCCCTGAGAGCAGATCTTGGAGGAGCCACAGCAGTGCCTGTCCTCGCCCTGGTTCCTAACCCAGGAAATAGAGTCGCTTACCCCAGGGGAGCGGTGGGGGGGTGGCGTGGACTGCACGGGCACTCTTCAGCTAGTCCTCCGGCCGGACAGTCTCTTGTGCTTCCGCTTATCAGAAGAACTGGGCCACAGACCATCTTAACCTGCATTTTCTGTCAAGAACTTGAGGGGAACATATTCTATGTCACTGACTGAAGGCAGATCCAGTTGTTTGGATCGTTGGTTTGATGATCCTTTGAGCAGAAGTGTGGGTTAACATCCTTCTCTGCAGAGGTCTCCATCCCACCTCTGCCTAGAGAGAAGCATAGGTTCTGGGTTAGCTCTAAAAGCAAGGGTCAGAAAACCTTTCCTGTAATGGGCCAGGGAGTAAATATTCGAGGCTTCCTGGCCATGCAGTCTCAATCTCTCCCCTCTCCCCTCCCTCTCCTCTCCTGTCTGTGGTGCTGAGAAAGCAGCCATAAACAATACACAAACAGACTCATTTGCAGTACGTCGATGAGCACGGCTGTGTTCCAGCAAAACTGTATAAAAGCAGGTGGCAGGCTTGATCTGGCCCAAGAGTGGCAGTTTGCTAGGGCCTGCTGTATACAGACCCATGGGAAAGCATAGGCACAAACAGTTGCAGCAGGTGTGGCCTTGGCCTCTGTGTGTCCCTCGTCTCCATGTCCTACCTCCTGCTTTGATGGGCTTCTGCTCCTTATCCAGCTGGTGACGCTGTGCTTGTTCGTTTTATAAATGCAGTGGACACATGTCACTTCCCGTTTTATAAATGCAGTAGACATGTGTCACTTCCTAAGTATGTCACATTGTGCATTCTCCAATCTTCACTCATGCGGTGTCCTTCCCTTTTTATCTCTGAAGAACACTTCCCTCCTCCCCTTTTCTAAATGAAATTGCTGCCCTTAGTCGAGATTGAGCCCAAGTCCCAACTACTCTAGGGACACCTACCTATTTGACAGTGCTGAATTTCTCCTACTCTGTTTTTCAATTATTTTCTCTTTTTGCTTGATACACTGGAAGAACAGGTAGCTTTTCTCTGTAGTTGTGCTTCAGGCTCACTGAACTGTAAAATACAGAAATTTTCTAACACCCCAAGAAATGAGAGCTGACTCTACCTTGAGAAACAGTTGGAGGGTAGGAGTTATGTTTTGTGCATACGGAGTTTGGATGACAGAAGAAGATGAGATTTAAGCCATATGGGCCTGGCTAGTCTAGCACTGGGCAAGGGTCAGTCCCAGGAACCCTACTCCTGGAGGTCATCCTCAGGAGCCCCTAAGGAACTCTGAGCACCACTGGGGAGGGCTGTGTGAGACAGAAGGGCAGCTGGTGGCCTTTGTGGTGTTAGAAGTTCGTGCTCGGGGTGCCTGGGTGGCTCAGTGGGTTAAAACCTCTGCTTCTGGCTCAGGTCATGATCCTGGGGTTCTGGGATTGAGCCCTACGTCAGGCTCTCTGCTCAGCAGGGAGCCTGCTTCCTCCTCTCTCTCTGTCTGCCTTTCTGCCTACTTGGGATCTCTGTCAGATAAATAAGTAAAATTTAAAAAAAAAAAAAAGTTCATGCTCAAGGGCACCTACGTGGCTACTTAGTTAAGCATCTGCCTTCAGCTCAAGTCACAGTCTTAGGGTCCTGGGATCGAGCCCCACATCAGGCTTCCTGCTCATCAGGGAATCTGCTTCTCCTTCTCCTGCTCGTGCTGCCCCTCTCACTCTCTCGCAAATAAGTAAAATCTTTAAAAAAAAAAAAAAAAAGTTTGTGCTCAAGCTTTATAATGTTCTCTTTCAATCTTTAAAAATATAACTCACCTGATACGTGCCTTCTTGTCTTTTAGTTCTTCAGTGAATACGAGAAGTTACTTCATTCAGAAAATTATGTGACAAAAAGACAGTCACTCAAGGTATGACTGATTATTCTACGTGGTTTACTTCTCTTCACCCTGTGTTTGAAACTTGTCTTTGGGGGAAAGGGAGATATGCTGGTATGGGCCCTAGACCTATGAGAGGAAAATACATTTCTCCATGGTCAAGATTTTTGTGGAAAGGAAGGAGTTCAGTGGTCCACACAGGGCACCTGCCCACCTGCCTGTGAATAGGGATACCAAAGTGGAATATATGGAGTTTTGAAGAGGTCTCTACCTCTTAGCGGTGCTGTATTTTACATTTGGAGTCTATTTTTGACACTTAGAATCATCTCAACCAGAGGAAGGCCCAGTAGCTGTTGTGCTCCTGGGGACAGCACAGGCCTGTTTCGGGAGCAGGGGGGTCGCAGAGGGGGCATGAGCAATGAAATCTTGATCAACAGGCAGTTTTGGCTGCTTTGTATCAACCTGGGATATGGACAGTTCCATCTGAAATTGAAATTTCAGATTTAAAACTCTGGAGCAGGGTTTGGCAGACTGTAGCTCATGGGCCAGATCCAGCTCCCTATTTTTGTAAATATTTGTTGGAACCCAGATACATTCATTTATTTACATATTTACATATTATGTTTCAGAGGATAACAGATTTGAACGGTTGCTACAGAGACCATATGGCCGGCAAAGTCTAAAAACGTTTCCTATCTGGTCCTTTACAGAAAGCTTGCTGACTGACCTCTGCTCTAGAAAATTCTCAGTGCAGCTCATAAAAGCATACCTCTCACTCTGTCAGTTAGTGGTCCTGACAGGAACTATAGATGGAAATCACAAAGGATTTGGGGGAAAAATTCTAATTCCATTTATACTTTTTACTATGTCCCCTTTAAATTCTACTCTGCTCGGAGTTCTTCCTATCAGAGCTGTCTGCATTCATCTGATCAGGCCTGCATTCCTGCTTCCCGTCCTGCCATGGGGACATCACTCGTGAAGACCTTATCTTTCTGTGGGAACCGACTAAAAGACATCAGGAGTGTCTTTTGTACTCTGTGTCCTTTGATAAGAACACTCTACCATCCAAATTCCAAAAGAATCCTTTCTATCAGGCCAGCTACTTCCTCCTTTTCCCTTAAGGCTGTGACTCCTACAGTGGGGGACCAGTCATAACCACAGTTTGCAAATGAGTCGCTGAGGAAATGATCTGGTCGGGCTGGGGCACTTCCCACTCATTGCTGCTGTTCAGGCCTCACCTCCCAGCCTGGCCTGTAGGTCAGCATCCGGGATCCTTAACCTCCTCCCTTCCCTAGGGGAGCTGGCTGGCGATGGCCAAGGATAAGACCAATCTTTTCATCTTGGGTGAGGCAGGGGGTGGTGAATGGGTTGCGGTACTTCTGGTGGCTGTTTAAGGACATTTTCTTCCCGGTACACCAGTATGATGTAATATATATTTGTAAGGTTCATGATACAGTATAGGCTCCCCTGTGATTGTCCACACAGTAAAATGGCCTTCTGTCAGCAGCCCGTTTCTATCGCAGGGCCAAGATGTTCTGTGTCCCCAGCATCACACGGATGTGAGCAACTGGATAGAGCAACTGGATAGAGCAACTTCCAAGGCCAAGGACACCAGGCAGGATTACCTAGGGTAGTAGCTTCCAGGGCCAATACCTCTTCACAGGATGGGGAGCAATTTGGGTAATCTAAGGGACCCAGCAGTCAGTTTATTGGCAAATCAATAGACTTTGACCAAGTTCTGAATTTTGGTGCTGCTTAGATAAGGAGGAGGGCTTTCAAGACCTTTCTGCCACTTAGGAATTGCCAACATGAAAAGGAAGGTTAAGACTGCCAGTTGCAAGACCTTAGTCATGGACACAAAGCCAGTCTTTGGCTCCTACAGTTTTATAACACCTCGTGAATGCATGGAGCTATTTTGAGGACCAATGTTACTTTAAAAATGAATTTTAATTTTTATTCCTTTTTTTGCAGCTACATTGGCATTTATTATTCCTTTATTTATTTTATCAGCAAATATATATTCCCTGTGCAATACCTCAGACTTTTATTCTTATGTCTAAAGAAATATAATGAATTACCAGTTACCCTCCTCCAGATAACTAAACTGATAGTCTCCAGATAACCAAATGGGTCATGCTCTGTATTTCCTTGATAGAAAATGAACACTAGTAAAACTACAAACCTTCACATAATAGTAACTTTAGAGTCTTCATAAGAGTCAATACTTGTTGATTCTTACCTTGAAAGTTATATTATTTGTGATTCAGATTGATGTGAAGCCTGAACTTGGGCTTCTGAATTCTTTAAAAACCCTAAGCAGAAGACGTTTGTTCTCCTATACGTCAGGGTATTTTTTATTTCAGATGATGACATGTTGCTTATCTAGAGACCAGTGTTCTGGCAACTTCCAAGTATCTAGAACATAGCCAGGAATCCAAAAAGGAATTAACTAAAGCAATAAATCCATAACTGTATTCATGCTTTTTGCTTCCCTCGGACCTCACCCCGTGTCTCTGTTCAGACTCAAGTCTAACATGCTTTGCACATATTCATGCTTTTCTTCCTCCCTGCGCTCTCGTGAGATGTAGGAACTAGGGCTCGGGAAAGTTAAATAATGTGCTCAAGGTTCCAGAGCTCACAGGGAGCAAGGAGCCAGCATTGGAACCCTGGCAGGCTGATGCGGGGGCCCGGCCCTCTACCTCTCTGCTTCTGCCGCCGTCCACAGGGACTGCAACTCGACCCCTAGCCCCATGGGTCGGGCACGCTAAACCCGCAGCAGAAGCTGGCCCACTGACGACACGAAGGGGTGACTGCGAACTAGAGCAAGCAGTGACAGTGTGAAAACCAAGAACTGATAGGGTATAATAGACTCTTTCGAACTCAGCAAGCCCTGGAGACAGGCTCTTTTAAGCTTAATTGATGTCATTAGTGATGATGAGGAGTCATTAAGAAAAAATGGGAGTACCTTCGGGATACTTTGCTGAAGAAAGAAAAGAGAAATACTCATTTTTATAGACCTTCCTGAAGCCCATACGCTGAAAGCATAACTTTCGCAGGCTTAAGGGTACCCTGTGTTCCAGCTTTGAATCTGGAAACCTCTATCCTGGGAGGTCCAGATAAATAATTTTTCAATTAGGCTAAGATTTGTAGTTAAGTAAGAATTATCAACAACTTACCTTTTGACCATTTTCTTTGATAGTTTTTTTTTAATGAGATAACGTAAATCCGTCTTTAAAGAGTAGCTCTGACAGTTTCAGATTCAGGGCCAATGTGCCTTGGACTGTGTCAAGAGCAGAGAGCAATGCTGGACTCCCCGTAGGCTTACCCCCTGAAGAAAGGCCTAGGTGTTCAAGTGGCAAGTAGTGGATGCTCAGTAATTTTTCGGTTATGATTTCAGTTCAGCTCATCGGTCTTCTGACCTGCTAACAACACTCTGTGCTTAACAAGAGTGATATGAAGTTTCTTTTTAAACTTTGCTTTTGCTTAAAATCTTGATGATAATATAAGAGTTAATTGTTTAACTGTCTTCTCAGCTTCTCGGTGAACTACTCTTAGACAGACACAACTTCACAATTATGACGAAGTACATCAGTAAACCAGAGAACCTCAAGTTAATGATGAACCTCCTGCGGGACAAGAGTCGTAACATCCAGTTTGAGGCCTTCCACGTTTTTAAGGTAGAGCGCTAGAACCGGAAGCGGTATTTCCCTCCACAGTTGTTAATCTCATTTCATTGACCGGCTATTGAAAAATTACTCACCTAATTTGGGTAATCTAAGGGACCCAGCAGTCAGTGTCCACATATGTATAGTATGACATTTAAATAGACCCAGAAACAGGGTGTATCATCTGGACTGGGAACCAGAAAAGCATATATTATGGAGGAGTGTCCATTATCTTTGGCATAGAATATTATTAATCACAAAGTAAAGGGTAATCCATTCCTTAATCCTTTCCTTGGAGGTTTTAGTACTTAAAATCCATTCTGGCTTTTTGTGCCTAGATATAATTTCTGCCCATTTTATTCTAAAAACAGTCTGTGTTTAATACCAGCTACTGAATTTCAGAACATGAGTGAAGGCATCAGTCCCTTGGACTGACACATAGACTCTCCCCCCTCACAGACATACGCAAGCACACACATGCACGCACACACACGCACACGCACACCCCTCCCGTCAGATGACGTCTTCCCAAGCAGCAGCCTCTGCGGCTGCCTTGACCGTGGGCCGCCGGGCTCCCCTTCTCTCCTGCGGCTGACACTGGTTTCTCTCTTTGCAGGTGTTTGTAGCCAATCCCAACAAGACGCAGCCCATCCTAGACATCCTCCTCAAGAATCAGACCAAACTTATAGAGTTCCTCAGCAAGTTTCAGAATGACAGGACCGAGGACGAACAATTTAACGATGAGAAGACCTATTTAGTTAAACAGATCAGGGATTTGAAGAGACCAGCTCAGCAAGAAGCCTAATTTCCAGTCAACATCTAAAATATTAAATCCACATTCAGCATTTGCTGTTAGCTATTCAGCATCAGGCGCTCTTTATTGGGTCATGAGGAACTTTACTGCTAACCTGCTGTTAAGTGAACGGTTTTTCATTTTACCTTTGTTTTTTTTTAGTCCAAGTTGGAGAACGTAGCTGCTGCTTTCTTGCACACTAGAGCACACGTGGACTTTCTCTTGATCTTTGTGTCGTTTCAGGGTTCAAGGACTCTGTTTGCTGTAGGAGTTCTGAACGTGGCTAGGTTTCCGGAGGCAGGTGTATAGACGGTGGTGTGGGTTGGGGCAGAAGGGGATTGCTGTTAGCAGATGAAACCTGCGTGTTTGCGTTGATCTCTGAGCATGGCTTCTTGGTAAGGTTGTACGCCTTCACTAAAGGACGATGGAGCAGAGCTGTATTTGAAACGAGAGGGCAGCTGTATCCGAGATGTGAGCTTTTGGGGTGGATAAAGTTGACGTGCAAATAAACTGATAGCAACTTCTCGAAGGTGTGAAGCTTCATAAGGTCATAAGGAAAATGTATATATGCTTTTCACAGCTTTCTAGAATTTTTTGACATTTGATTTTCTTGAGACTTGTAAACCTGGGTATGTTGAAGGGTATTTGTTAATTTTACTCTTTGGAAGGTATTTTAAACCAGTAGAGCTAACAGTGACACCTTGCATTTCATTTCAGCAATGCTTACAGGTTTCTTTTGTATATAATTCTTAGAATGCTCATTTCTTTTAAATGATTTAATTTGTACAGCAGAGGAATGTTACTGTATTAGTATGTAACTATTACCTAATATTGAGTTTTTGCAAAAAAAAAAAAATGAATGCTCATATGTAATTGAAATACTTCCGATCACATGAAAATGCTGATTTAACATTTAAGTATCACAGCATTAAAACAAAAAATGGAAACCAGTCCTTTGTATTCAGTTACCTACCGGGGAGCCGTCAGTCGGCTACGCTTTCCTGCGCGATGTTGGCCTTATTCATTTAAATGAGTCATGAATTTGCCAGATACAGATGACCCCAATTATGTTAAATGACTGCTGATTCTCCGTGTTTTGGGGGAGCCTCTGTAGAGCACCTTTTCCTTTGTAGAATAAGTAATCCAGTACAACAGTTGTGAAACTGAGTCATTAAAACTTTGGCTTCTCTTAGGAAAAGAAGAGTCCCTAGTCCTAGGTGTCCCACGGGGAATTTTTTTTTTTTTAATGTCCTGTTCCTTAATGCTGCAAATGATCAGTATTTATGAAGTAACTGATTTTGCACCACTTTTTGTTACTGTGACCACGGCAGAACAATGTCTCCTAGAACATACCTGTGTAAAGTTACTAGAATGGTATCTGTTCATCTTAGTAATACAAGATCACAACTAATAACTTAACAAATCAGAGTTTGCCAGTTCGAATTCAGCATGGCTGTAGCTGATTAAGAAATTTATATAATTACTCTTTGCTAGCCTCTCTCACTAATTGAATTATTTATCAGCCAGTAAAATGAGACGCCCAGTGGATGTTTTAAGCATGAGGTTTTCAGCCCTCCTAGGAATACCAGTGGGGAAAATAGCTCCAGGAAACATAGATGTGTTTTATTCCATCTCATTAAAAAGGCAGCCTACGTTATAACTGGTTTTTCTGAGGCTGTCTTTTCCAAAAATCTGTGTAAAATAATTCATATTTTTCTGTCAGAAGTATGGAAAGCAACCCAAGCTCCTCGAAATGAAAATATCCAGGATGTTTAGGAAGGGAACGGCAGACTTGACCGTGACAAAGTGTTCTGGTTCTCGTGGTCTCGTGCTTGGTATCTGGGTTTAGCATGAAAACGTTAGTCACACCAAGTGGAAGAAAGGTTTCCTTCCTTGCCAAGCTGGTTCTTCAAATTTGAAACAGCTTCCACTTGGGGGTGGTTCCCGGGCACTAGCGCCTCCGTGTGGAAGGCAGTGGGGGTGCAGCCTGTCAAAACCCATATGCCTCTGATGCACTGGGATCTGAGCAGAGTTAAGACTTGTTTTGTTTGTTTTTTAAGAAAAATGTGAAAACATTCAAAGTTGAAAAAGTTGCATTTGAAGTTATGAACATTTAATATATTCATATTACCAAAACTATTATACTGGAAGTGGTTTCTTTTTGTGTTACAAAGGTTTAATTTTACATAAGTCAGTTACAGTTACTCATTGTGATTTTTAACCCTTTAAAAAAAAAGTGGAGATGTATACAGTTGTTAACAATGCCATGAAAGCATTTCTTTTCTCCTGAGGAAACGTAAATTTCTTATCAGAATATCTGGCTGGCCCTGTAATTTAAATTAAAATAAAATTTTGGAGAAACAGCATGGTCCATTCTTATGGTGTCTTACAGATAGCTGCATTTGTGTCTGTGAACAGCCCCATCAGGAGACACATAGGCACAAATCGTGTCACAGACTAACCGGAAATAGTTAATACACATGCCTCTCCTAGTCTTTTTTCCTATTCCCGGTTTTATTTTTGGTGTCAAATGTGACTTTCCCTTACATGCTGGGGCTCCCAGGCCCCAGGCCCTGCCTCCCGCAGTTCAGTGTTGTCACCCCTTGTCTGATGGCTTTTTTAGACCCTAGCATTTGGGGAGTGGGTCCTTTCTCCATGGCTCTGTGACCTTTATTGTGAACGTTCCAGGGTAAAACTGGACCACAGGGCAGGAGGCTTACAGATACCAGGGTGAGATTGCAGTGAAGGCGAGAGAGTGCAGACGTACCAGAGCGACCGTCTGTCCCCGGGCTGCCTGGGCTGGGGGCGCACAGCCCCGTCCTCACTTCTCTTTTTTTTTTTTAAAGATTTTATTTATTTTTTTGACAGAGATCACAAGTAGGCAGAGAGGCAGGCAGAGAGAGAGAGAGAGAAGAGGAAGCAGGCTCCCCGCTGAGCTGAGAGCCCCATGCGGGGCTCGATCCCAGGACCCTAGGAACATGAGCTGAAGGCAGAGGCTTTAACCCACTGAGCCACCCAGGTGCCCCCTCACTTCTCATTTTAACTTTGGTCTGTAAATGGGACCGCCGTTCTCTGTGGTGATGGCATGGGACATGTTCTCGTCAAAGCACTTCATGTGAACAACATCTTACTTACTGCTTATTTCTTCCAGGTAGTTAAGTCTGTCCTCTCCAAAGGTGACAGGGTCCCATAAGGTCAGAACTTGTGACTTTGCTCTTTCTCTGATCAGACATGAAGAAGTGGCCACGCTGAGGCCTGGCCTCATGCGTTAGCACACATTCCACTTCTTACCAGTCACCAGTCAGGTGTCAGCTCCCCACGGCAAGAAAAACTGAGTCTCAGGCTGCTCAGACGTAATGCGTAGCTTTCCCCCGATTCCTTTATTTATATATATTATTTGTAAGGACCAAAGAAGATCATGACTCTAAAAGTTTTTCAGGGCTCAATGCTCGATGCGTTGTTCATTCAGGAGACTAGAGCCACTCTGAGATAACGAGTCATCCCTCCTGAGAATTCACTAGAAATGCCCCAGACACACTTCCATTCAGCTACTGCTTCTATAAGGAGTGTTCTCCCCTTGGCCATTTGTGTCCTTACAGCAGTTTTCAGAGCCTGGTCCCCTCTCTCTCTGACCATCCTGTTTCTGGAAGGTGTGGAGGACAAGGTAGGACACCCCACACTGCAAGCTCAGAGCCCTCTCAGCTGGCTGGAAGCTAGCTGGAAGCCAGCCCCGTGGAAAAACCTCCCTCAGGAGCAGTCTGGACACATTCCACTTCAGCGCTGCCGTGACAGGACCATCAGCTTCCGGCTGCCAGTGCTTGCCTCACTTCTGGTCGACCCGCATTCCTCCAGCAGGCCCCAAGAGCCCAAGACACAGTTAACAGGGACAGAAGCTCTCAAGCCCACTCTCATGGAGCCTTGTCCCTGCCCAAGTGCACGCTGACAGAGGCCGTGGTGATCTTTGCACAAAGTCCTGTGGCTTCCCAGCTGACACGAGGCCTTTGTGTTGTGTTTATTCGCAATGACCTCTACAGCCCCGCTGACGTTTGGGTGCCCAGTGCGACCAGATGGGAACGGACATCCAGAAGGTGGAGCACGTGCCCAAGGCCTCGGGCCCAGCATGTCCCTGGGGATCTAGGTCCCTGAGTACAGTGACCACCGGGTTTCTAAGCAGGAGGTCGTGTCCCCTGTAATTTGTGAAATAACATTTTTCTGGGTCGCACTTCAGGGAGAGCGGACACAGGAGATTGGGGAGAAGGTCTATATTTCTCAACATTCTCTACAAGATGAGCTTTAGCTCCTTGGTAATAAATGTTTATCACCTAAGTACTTGGTGTTCTGTGGAAATAACATGGTCGTGTTCTGTTTTTCAGTACCTGGGTCTTCCATTTGGTGGAGATTCTACAGGGGCAGTGGACAAGGCTGTGGGAGGAGCCTTGCGTCGGCCCAGGGGAAGCTTCCAGACAGGCTGGGCCCCCAGCTGGCTCCCTCTCCTTCCACCCTGGTGGGCGGCCAGCATACTCCCTTCCACACTAGAGAGACATTTGCATCTCCCCACCTTAGGAAGTCTCACCTGCGTGGAGAAGGCAGTGAGGGTCCCCTTGTGCCAGCCCTACTCCTAAGCCAAATAGGACCTTCTCTTGCTCAGTTGAATCTCCGTGTGGTCCTGAGTTCTCTCCCCCAGCCTTCAGGCAGCCCCCACCCCGGGACCTCTCCCCGGATGAGGAGGTGGGGGGTGGGGGGTGGGGTAGGATTGAGTGCCCACCCACCCCAACACTGAACACACTAAGGACCCAGCAGGGCCCAAGCCCACCTCCTTAGCACACTTATGCCCTCAGAACTGTTTATTGTGGCCCAGGGCACCGAAAGGGTGGCCGTTAATGTCCCCAGAAGCAGCTCTCACTGCAGCGTCCTCACCTGACCTCAGCTGGGATAGGTGCTTCCCAGCAGAACCGAGCTCCCCAAACCACGATGTTAAGGGTTTCAGGACATAGCTCTTGTCAGACTCTTTCCCTCCCCTGGCTCCCATCCCACTCTGTACCAGAACTTCCTAGGATCGAGTCCCAAATAAAAGACCAGCATTTGAACCTTTGTCCTAGGCTCTGCTTCTGGGGAGACACAAACTAAGACATGCCATTTTGTCCCTTCTCCTAACCGAGAGGCATGTGGTCAGCCGTGTCACACACAGGGCCTCTCCTAGAGGAGCGGCCACGCTTGCTGCCTGCCCTTCAGGGCTTCCTGTCCCTCTGGCCTCGGCATTGAAGAGAGGCTGTGGCCACAGCATGTGTGTGTCAAAGCCTGACACTGGGTACCTGTGACCCAGAGCAGGCTGCAGACCCAGGCCCCAGTCAGCCGAAGCCTCCAGATACTTATCTTTTAAAAACAGCTACACAGGCCAGGCCGCCACTCCGAAATTATTCTTCCTGGTCACAAAAATACTAGCAAAACTGGAAAGTTCCCGATTCCTTCATGCTCTATCTCCTTCCCAAAAAGACTTTTTTGGAAAAGTGTGGTATATATAACCCTACGAAGTGACTGCACAGTTGGGAACTGGGGCCAGGATTAGCAATTGTCTGGGTTTAGCTAAAAATTCACGATAGGGCTTGAGGGGCCTGTGCTGCTGGGCTCAGACATGCTCCCAGCCAGAGGCAACCCCTGCCTACCTGGCCTCCAGCTTCCCCCTCCCCAGCACACAACTTTAATTTTTAAAAAGTCCACTGAGTGGCAGTAGAGCTCCTTGTTGCCAGCAGCTGCTGAGCCTGGGGACCCGGCATTGCCAGAGGGGCATTCCCCGAGCACAGCCATAACCTGGGACCCTCCTGGTGCTGAGTCCCCACCTGCCCAAATTCCAGAGTGCCCTTTTGAGGGGGAAAAAAAGCGGGCAGTCAAGAGAGGTACATAAAGAGCCAGAGGGAGGGCTAGATGTGTCTGTCATACACAC